ACCAAGGCCCAGATCGCCGTGCGCCACCAGCGCAAGGTCGCCGCCGTCGCGCGGGAGCGGCGCGCGCGGCGCGACGCGGCCGCGCGCGTCGTCGCCCGCGCGTGGCTCCGGAAGGCGTCGCGGCTCCGGGCCGCGCTCGCGGCGGCCGCGGCCGCGGCGCTCCAGGCCCTGGTCCGCGGGGCCCTGGCGCGCGGGTTGCTCTTCGACGACGAGGACGCGTCGGACGGCGGGTCCTACGCCGACGGGGACGCGGCGTCCGGCGGCTCCGACGGCGCACCGTCGCCGCGCGGCGACGGCGAGCCGGGCGGCGACGCGCGCGTCGCCGCGCTCCTGCGCGTGCTCGGCGCGCTCCTCGCGCGCACGCTCTACGGCGCCGTGGGCCGCTGGCGCGACGTCGTCGACGGCCACGCGGAGCCGCCCTTCCTGTCCCTGGACGGGTCGCCGCCGGCCGCCGGCCGCCGCGGCGACGACGGCGCGAGCCTGAGCTCGTCCTTCGACGAGTCCGAGCCCCTCGACGCGCAGAAGAGCGCGCCGCCGGCGCTCCCCGGCCGCGAGGCCTTCGGCGACGGCGCGGAGGACGCGTCGCCGCCGTCGGGCGGCGCGCGCGACGCGACGCGGAGCCCGCGGTCCATCTTCGCGACGGCGCGGTCGCCGGCGCTGCCGCCGGCCGTGCGCCGCCGCTTCTCCGCGCGCGCGACGTCCGAGACGGCCCTGTCGGCGCGCAAGGCGAAGCGGCGCCACTCCGCGGCCGCGCGGCCCGCCGCGGCGGGCCCGGGCTCGGGCGACTCGGACGCGGCGCCGCGGTCGCGGACGCGCCGCCGGAGCTCCGCGCGGTCGCCGAACCCGTCGGCGACGCCCCCGCGCCGCCGCAGCCACGGCGACGGCCCGGGCGAGGACCAACAGCCGCCGGGCGCCGCGTCCGCGCGGCGGTCGCGCGGCACGCCGCCGCCGGGCGGCGACCGCGGCTCGCCCGACGGCGGCGGCAGCGACCGCTCCCGGGCGACGGCGTCGCCCCTGGCGCCCGTGCTCGAGCAGGCGCCCCTCGGCGACGCGGCCCTCGCGGCGCCGGAGCCCGCGGCGCCGGACGGCCCGCCGTCCGCGGTCGCCTCGGACGCGACGTCCCCCGCGTCCGCGGCGCTCGACGCGCGCCTCGCCGCGCGGTCCATCTCCTGCGACAGCAGCGCGTCGGCGTTTGGGCTGCGGCGCCTCGACTCGCCCATCGCCCTGCCGCTCGCGGACCAGCCCTCGAGCTCGCGCCGGCGCGCGACATTCGACCGCCGGGTTCGGCGGTCCCAAACTTCAAACGTCTCTCGAGTCGACGTCGATTCGGCCGATGTTTGGACGGATCGATGGCTCTCGTCGGGTGCTCGACGCAGGGTCGAAGGGGCCCGCGTCGATATCGAAGTCGAGTTGAAGATTGGCATCCCGCGCAGGCTCGTACGACGACGTCGAATTCCGCGCGAAGCTCCGGAGCGGCATCCTGCTGTGTGGAAATCAAATCTTCAACCCGACTTCAATGTGAGCGTAATCGAACGGTGTGACACAAGCACTTCCGCTGTGCTTCGAGAACTCGACTAGAGCAATCGATTCGTCCAAAAATCAGCCGAATCGACTCCGATGTGACCGAGCTAGAGAGGTTTGAAGTTTTTCCTGGACAGGGCGTTCCACTGGTTGATTTCCACACAGGCATCCTGGCGACGAAGCACTCGCGCCGGGGCCGGCCCCACACGCGGCTCCTCGTCGCGTCCGAGGACTTCGAGGAGCTCGTCTGGTCCGCGCCGGACAAGCCGCGCGGCGCGCTCCACGCGGCCGCGCGCTTCGTGAAGCGCGTCCGCCGGCCGCGGCGCGTGCTCTACCTCAAGGACGTCGTCCGGGTCTGCGGCCGCGGGGCGACGCCCGTCCTCGCGCGCGCGAAGCGCAAGGACCACGCCTCCTCGGCCAACTTCGTGTCCCTCGTGACGGAGGCCGGCGGCTCCGTGGACCTCGAGTTCCCGACGCCCGCGGTCCACCGCGCCATGCTCCAGGGCTTCACGAAGCTCATCAAGGCCGCGACGACCCTCACGGAGGCCAACACGGCCCATTCGGTCGGTATGGAGGGCGGCGTGTAACGGACTATCTAAGTGCTCACGGCCGGCCTTCGCGGCAACGACGGCGCGGCGCCGCATCGTGCCGATCGCCGCGATCCGGCGAGGACCGCGGCGCCGCAGGCTGCCTAAAAGTGATCCCCTCGCGGCGCGCGGGCAGTCACCATCGGCCGCTCGAAGCCGAACGCGAAGAAGATGGCGGCCATCGCGAGCGTCGGCGGCTTTGCCAAAATGGCAAAGGGGGCGTGCGACTGCGACGACCCGAACTGCGCCGACAATCTGGACATGGACATGCTCATGGACCCGTGCTGCGCCAAGGACATGAAGGACTCGCGGCGCGCGGCGGGGCTCATGAGCCGCCTCCGGGACTACGACCCGGCGCGCCGGGCCCTCGACGAGCGGCGCGGCGTCGTCGACGCCGCGCCGCTCTTCTTCGCGGAGCGCGCGGCCGCGAAGCTTCCGGAGCCGTCGCGCGGCCCGCCCCGCGAGGCCGCCGCCGCCGACGACGACGACGAGGAGGAGGAGGAGGACGAGTCGGAGGAGGAGGAGGAGGACTCCGACGCCGAGTTCCTCGACGACCTGGAGAACGACTCGGAGCTCATGGAGCGCATGCGGAGCTCCAAACTCCGCGAGGCCGAGGCCGACCTGGCGGCGAGCGAGGTCGGCGCCGCCCAGCTGCGGGCGCTCGTCGCCGCCCGGCGCGCCGTCGTCGTCCACGCCTTCGCGCCCGGCTGCGCGGCGGGCGCGCGCCTCGACGGGGCGCTCGCGGCGATCGGCGCGCGGCGCGCGGGCCTGCTCGCGTGCCGCGCGGCCCCCGCGGCCGTCGACGACGCGCTCCTGCGCGCGGGCCGCGTGTCCCGCGACGCCCTGACGCGGTCGCCGCGGGGCGCGCTCCTCGCGGTCGTCGACGGGCGCCTCGAGGCCGCCGCGCTCGACATCGCGCAGTTCGCGGACGACGACCGCTGCGCCGCCGACGCCGTCGAGCGCTGGCTCGACAACGCCAAGGTCTGGGCGCCGGAGGCGGACCACGCCCACGACGACGCCGACGGCGACGACGACGCCGACCCGGAGGCGCACGACGCGCCGCGGCCGTGCTACTACGACTGCGGCAAGCCGGGCTGCCAGAAGGCCTTCGAGCACCACCACGTCGGCCTCTCGACGCCCGACGCCTGGAACGTCGACAAGGCGGGGGCGAATTGACGTCGTATAAGGCTGCGTAGTACGCGCGTGCTGCCGCGCGGAGGGCTACTGAGGCCTCGGCGGCGCAGAGCTTCAACACGCGAGCGCCACGACGATGCCGTCGAGTTTACCACGCCCGAGCTCTGGCCGCCTTGCGTGGTGCAGCAAGATGCACGCGCTCACCATCTGCGCGGTCGCGAGCCTCGCGCAAGCGCTCCAATTACCTTCTATAACCTTGCCGCCGCTGCCGCCGCTGCCGAAGATCGAAATCCCGGCGATGAACGCCCTCGCACCTCCTACTTTCTCCCCGCCACCTCTGCCGACCGCGCCGCCGCTGCCCGACGGGTCCCTCGAGGGCCTCGTTTCGCGGCTCGTCGCCGAGGCCTCGGCGGCGCTAGCCAACGCCGGCGCGGCGCCCTACGGCGAGGTCGTCGCCGCGAGCGCGGCGGCGACGCTCGCGGTGTCGCTCCCGCTCCTCGCGCTCAACGGCCGCCGCGAGAAGCGCAAGCGCCTGCTGTCGACGTCGACGCTCCCGGAGCCCGTCGCGACGCCCTACGCTGGCGGCGCCGACTCCTACTCGCCCGAGGCCGCCGACGCGTTCTACGGGCGGCGGCCGCTGCTCGTGCTCGAGCGCCTGGTGTGGCTCACGCAGTCGACGTTCGCCTTCAACGTGAAGCTGCTGCTGGACTGGGCGCGGGGCTGGCCCGCGGCGTCGGAGCCGCTGCGGGCCGCCGAGTGCCTGGCGCTCTGCGAGGAGCTCGGCCCCACGTTCATCAAGCTGGGGCAGGCGCTGTCGATCCGGACGGACCTCGTCAACGAGGCCTACGCGCTGGAGCTGCGCAAGCTCCAGGACGCCGTGCCGCCCTTCGCCGACGCCCAGGCCATGGAGCTGCTGCGCCGCGAGCTCGGCGTCCGCGACCTCAGCGAGGTCTTCGAGAGCCTGTCGCCGAGCCCCATCGCGTCGGCGTCGATCGGCCAGGTCTACCGCGGCGACCTGCGGCCGGGCGCCTACGGCGTCGCGGACGAGGGCGCCGAGGCCGGCGGCGCCGTGACGAGCGTCGCGGTCAAGGTCCAGCGGCCGGGCGTGCTCGCGGAGATCGCCCTCGATTTGCACATCCTCCGGCTGCTGACGCCGCTGCAGGTCCGCGCGTCGAATTTCGTGAACAAGGTGCCCACGGAGCAGGAGGACATCGACACGGCCATCGCCCTCGTCGACGAGTGGGGCCGCGGCTTCGTCAACGAGGTCGACTACGTCGCCGAGGCGCGCAACACGGAGGCCTTCTCCGCGGCGATGCGGTCGCGGGGCCTCGGCGCCGTCGTGTCGCCGCGCGTCGTCGGCGAGCTCCTCCGGCCGAACGTGCTCGTCACCGAGTGGATCGACGGCACGCGCCTCGACGCGTCGGCGAGCCCCGACGTGCCGCGGCTCTGCGGCGTCGCCATCAACGCCTACCTGACCATGCTCCTGGACACGGGCACGCTCCACTGCGACCCGCACCCCGGCAACCTGCTGCGGACGCTCGACGGCAAGCTGTGCATCCTCGACTGGGGCATGACGCTCGAGGTGCCGGGCGACCTGCAGTACGCGCTGCTCGAGTTCATCGCCCACATCAACACGGAGAACCTCGACGCCGTGCCCCGGGACTTTGTGAATTTGGGCTTCACGCCGCCGGACAAGTTGGACGCCGTCGCGCGGTCGGGCGTCACGGACGGGCTCGCGTTCATGCTCCGCCAGCTCTCGGGCGGCGGCGGCGCGAAGAAGATCCAGGAGCGCGTCAAGGCCGAGCTCGTGGAGCGCTACGGCACGGAGGACCAGGAGGAGCTGCGCACCGCGGCGCGCGCGGAGATGATGGCGCGCATGGAGGAGCAGCTCGCGTCCGAGGGCGTCGACGTCCGCGGCGTCTCCAACGTCATGGAGGAGATGTCGCGCCGGAACCGCGAGCTCTTCCAGCTCCCGACCTGGGTGCTCTACGTCGTCCGCGCCTTCTCGACGCTCGAGGGCATCGGCCTGTCCATCGACGAGAACTACGCCATCATCCAGGAGTGCTACCCCTACCTCGCGCGGCGCCTCTTCACGGACGACTCGCCGCGCGCGCGCGTCGCGCTGACGGCCATGCTCTACGGGCCCAACGCCGCGGACATGGACGGCCTGGACCTCGACAAGTTCAGCGAGATGGTCGACGGCTTCTCGAGCTACACGTCGGCGACGTCCGGCGCGGGCGTCGAGAAGCGGCCCGAGGTGCCGGGCCTGACCCTCGTGTCGTCCGAGGCCGCCGAGGCCGACGCCCAGCGCGAGCTCGCGAACGTGCTGTTGGCCGAGGACGGCAACCTGGTCCAGGACGTGCTCATCGCGGAGTCGGCGAAGCTGCTCGACGCCGCGGCGCGGTCCGCGCTGACGTCCGCGTTGGACGCGACGCCCCTGCTCCCGGCCAAGCTCAGCCCCAAGGCGGGCGAGTCGAGCGAGGACGCGCTCCGCGGCGCCATCCAGGCCATCCGCGGCCTGCCCGGGCCCGCGCGCGCGGCGCTGCTGCCCCTGACGGGCGGCGTCGAGGCCGCGGCGTCGCTCGCCGAGGCCGTCGCGCCCCTCGTCGCGGCGGACGCCGCCGACGAAAAGGCGCTCGACGCCGTGTCGAACATCGCGGGCAAGTTCGCCGGCGCCGGCGACCACGCGGACGCCGCCGACGACGCGGACCCGCTCCGCGCGGCCGTCGACGCGGTCGCCAAGCTCGCGCCGGGCGGCGACGTCCTCGGCCTCGCGACGCCGGAGAACGCGAACCGCGCGGGCCTCATCGGCCGCCGCTTCGCCGCCGCCGTCCTCGACCGCGCGGCGAAGCGCTCCGCGAAGCTCGCGGACCACGGCGAGGCCGCCGAGCACGCGGAGGCCCAGGTCACGACGGCCGCGGCGCGCGCCCTCGCGTCCGCCGCCGAGTCCGCCGCCGAGACCCTCCGTCCGAACTCGCCGAACCCCTAACCGTCATCCCGAAGACTCGCGTAGGAGCTCAGTGAGCCCGCTTACTCCGCTCGTTGATGTCAATGTTGCGGGATAACCATTCTCAAACGCGGAGCATGAGTGTAATGAGAGGCTAGCGTGGGCTGCCCGCGCGCGCGGCGTTGCAAAAATGCGGGAGCGTCGCCGGCTGTTGAGCTCGCAGCAATGTCCCGACATGGCGACGGACGACGACGACGATCGTCGGTCCATATTTCGCTGCACAGCGGGCCGCCTGCTCCTCCTGCTCCTCTGCGCCGTCGTCGCGGCGCTGGCGCCGCCGCGCGCTGCGCTGGCGCCGCCGCGCGCCGCGCCGGACGCCGCGCCGGCCGCCGCGCCGGACCCGATGGCGCGCGTCGACGCGTGGCTCGCGGAGAACGCGGCGTCCGAGGCGACGTTCGCGGCGCGGCGCGCGGCCTACGAGGCGCGCCGGGCGACGAGCGACGAGCTCGGCGGCGAGGGGGACCTGCTGCGCTACCGCGCGTCGAACCCGTACACGGCGCGCTACGGAGCGATTGGACGGTCGTACCCCTGGGTCACGGCGTCGGTGGCCGTCGTCGACGCGCGCGTGCCCGTCGACCTCAAGGTCGCGAACGCGGTCGCGGGCTGCGCCTACGCCTGGCGCGTCGGCGCCGTCGGCGTCGCCGACCACCTCGCGGCGAGCCGGCTCGCCATGGCCCCGGCGGTCCACCGCGGGCCCTCCGCGACGGCCGTACTCGCCGGCGTCGGCGCGGCGTCGCTCGAGGTCGCCGAGGCCTGCGTTTCGCGGCCCCTGCGCTTCGCCGTCGGGACGCTCTTCGGCGCCGTCGTGCGCCGGGAGATCCGCGAGATCCTCGCCGGCGACCTGGAGCCGCTCCTGGACGCGATGCGCGTCATGTGGGACGTCGGCGGCGCCGCGGGCCGCGCGCGCTACGGCCCGGCCTACGCGTCCATCGACGAGCTCGACGAGGTCCACCGCCAGAACGCGGCGCGCCGCGACGCGGACCACTTCCACGAGGGCATGGGCTTCCTCGCGCAGCACGCGAAGCTGAGCCGGCGCTTCGAGGCGAGCCTCCGCGCCGTCGACGGCCGGTGGGCGCTGCCCTACTGGGACAGCACCATCGAGATGGCCGACGTCGCCGAGGGGCGCATCGCCGGGCCCTTCGACACGGTCCTCTGGACCGCGCGCATGTTCGGGTCCATCCCCGAGGTCGGCTCCGCGCCGTCGAAGGACTTCCTCGCGACGGCGCCGGGCGCCGCGGGCAGCGACGCCTTCTACCGGAAATACGCCATCGGCGACGGCCGCTGGAGGCACGCCGAGGTGCCGACGGTGCGCGGCGCCTTCGCCCGGGCCTTCCGCGCGCGGACGAACGGCACCGGCGCGGCGCCGACGCCCGCGAACCCCTACGGCTTTTTGCGGTCGCCGTGGAACGTGAACCCGTCGCCCTACGTGTCGCGCTTCGTCGACCCGGCGAGCACGCTGCCCGTCTGCGAGAGCCACTGGCGCTTCGCGACGCGGCGGCCGAAGCCGTCCGAGGGCGAGTCCGTCGCGTTCTTCCAGGTCAACGACGTACAGAACGAGGCGACGTGGTGGATGCGCAACGTCGCCTTCCTCCCCCACGGGCGCTACCACGACGCGACGGGCGGCACGGTCAAGGCCAACTACGGCCCCGTCGAGGCGAGGATGCGCGCGGCGTTCCGCATCGGCCGCGTGTCGTTCAAGGAGGCGGGCACGCTCAAGACGCTCTGGCGCTACCACATGGTCGACATGCCCGCGACCTGCGACGGGGCGCCCGTCGACTGCCGGGCGACCTGCACGGGCCACGCGACGCGCGAGGAGATCGGGCGCCTCACGGCCGCGCTCCAGGGCCCGCGCGCCGCGTTCTTCCACCCGAAGACCGCCGGCGCGCCGCCGCGGCGGCGGCGCGCGCTGGGCGCGCGCAACGTGTCGGCGGACACCGGCGCGGCCGCGATGCGCGCCATCGGCGACGCGCTCTGCGACGACGGCCCGTCCTTCGTGAAGGGGGACCAGTTCGAGGCGAGCGGCGGCCGCGACCCGAGCTTCTGGCCCGTGCACCCGGCCATGGAGCGCCTCTTCCAGTACGCGAGCCTCCTGCGGCCCTTCAGGAACATGTCCTGGCCGACCGCCAACGTCTGCTCCACGGGCGACGAGCCGCTCCCGAAGCGGTCCGACACCGTCGGCGCGTGGCGCTACTCGCCGCGCGCGGCGGGCGTCGCCTGCTTCCGCGCGGAGCGGCGCGGCCCGCCGCGGCCCGAGGACATCGCGGACTGCTGCTACGGCCACTACGGCGACAGCCGCTGGTACGAGGAGTTCCCCGTCAAGGTCGGCGGCGTCACGAACGCGCGCATGCTCGAGCTCCTCGACCCGCGGAGGCCGCCGCGGCCGGAGGACGGCTACGGCGTCGTCTACCACCACTTCCGCTGGGACCACTGCGCGCGCGCGTCGCGGGGGCGGGCCTTCGTCTTCCCCGAGGTGCGGGGGTCGTAAGTGGCTTCCCACAGACTAAAGTGCCCACGAACTATCCCTCCCTCCTCTTCGTCGGCGAGGCGCCGCGGCTGGCACTCGCGCGGGCCCCCGCCGGGGGGCGCCACGGCGCAGTCGTAAAATGGCACGGGGATGGGGGGGGCGGGGGCGACGCGCGCGCGGCGGCGGGGCGCCTTTGGAGCTCCTAGAGCGGCAGCTTCGTGTCGTTCTTGCCCTTGGTGAGGAGGTCCTGCTCGGCCTTCTTGTAGGCGTCGAGGGACGTCGTGAGGGACGTGATCATCTGGCGGATGTGCGCGAGCTCCGCCTCGGCCGCGGGCGTGAGGTGCGCGCCGTTCATCTTGTCCCACATCTTCTCCGCGGACGCCGCGTGGCCGTCGTCGGCGGGCCCGTGGAGGCCCATCTCGGCCATGATGTTCGGCGGCATGGCGGGCTTGGCGCCGAGGGGCTTCTTCTTCTCCGTGAGCGCGTCGAGGCCGCCGTTGAGCATCGTCTGGACGAGCGACGCGCGCTTCGTCGCGGCCTTCTCGGAGACCTCGGCGACGGCGGGCTTGTGGACGACCTTCTCCTCGGAGGGCTTGGGCGCCGGGCGGCGCTTGAAGCCCCCCGGGGGCTTGGCCTTGGCGAAGGGCGACTTCGCGGGCGCGGCGGCCGCGGCCGACGCCGCGGTCTTCTCGACCTTCTCCTCGACCTCCTTGCCGTCGATCTGCAGGAGCTTCTTCCCCTCGTGGAAGAACTCGTCCTTCTTGCCCTTCTTGCGGATGTCGTCGTAGAACTTCATCTTGTTGATGGTCTTGACGACGACGGGGTGGAGCCAGTTGTCCTTGGCCTCGCCCTTGAGGCCGTACTTCGCGTGGTCCGCGAACTCCTTCTCGAGCTCCTTGTAGCGGCTCCAGGGGTCGATCTCCGCCTGGAACGTCGGCGTCTCCGCGTCCTTGTACTTCTTCTTGAGCTGGAGGATCACGGGGCCCTTCTCGTTGTACGCGCCCTTGGCGAGGTCGTCCGTGACCATGAGCCGCTTGCAGTACTCGAGGTTCTTCTGGATCTGCTCCGTCATGCACTCGTAGTGCTCGTCCCAGGACACCTCCTCCTTCTTCAGGATGCGCTGGCTGCACTCGGGGTTGAAGATGTTGTCGACGGCCCAGCACGTGTCGTAGATCGCGTGCCAGCCGCGCTTGAGGCCGAGGCCCATGGGCCAGAAGGGCTCGAGCAGCGAGTCGCCGGCGAGGGCGACGATGGGGTGCGGGTTGCGGCCCCGGTAGGGCCCGTTCTCCGCGACGGAGTAGCCCGGCGGCGGCAGCTCGAAGGAGATGGACTTGCGCGTGTTCCAGCACTCCGCGAAGTCGAACGCCATGACGTCGTTGGGCGGGTCGACGAAGCCCCCGTTGGGGAGCTGCTCGTCCACGGGGATGCCCGCGGCCTTGAGGATGCGCAGGCAGTAGGCCTTGAGCTTCGCCTTCTCGCCGGCCTTGGGGTCGCCGTCGAGCGCCGCGCGCGCGACGGTGTGGTGGTAGACCTTGCCGCTGAGGCCGTGCTGGACGAGGTTCGCGCGCTTGGGCGTGAGGATCGTGTAGTTGTGGAACGACGCCTTGTAGTAGATGAGCGCCTCGAGGTCCCCCTCGGCCTCCGTGTTGATCTTATTGAAGAAGTCCTTGAAGATCATCTTCGTGCGGTTCATGTCGTTCGGCTCCTGGCCGTACTCGAAGCCGAGCTCCTTGAGCCGCTTCCGCGACACCTTGCGCACGTTCGCGACGATGCCGACGCAGTCCATGAACTTGCGCTTCTCGATGTCGCCGAGGTACTTGGTCATGGTGTCGCGCACCGTGGACCGGGGCCCGTCGCAGCCGATGAGCGCGTCGAAGTTGTGGACCTGCTTCCCCGGCTCGCAGCCGTAGCTCGCCGCGGCCTCCTTGTCGTAGACGACCTCGACGTCCCAGGACGGCATCATCGTGTCCGGGTCCTTGACGACCGTCGCGTTCTTGTAGGCGCAGCCGAGGCGGAAGTCGACGCCGAGGAGGAGCGCGTTCTTGAGCAGCAGGCACTGGAGCTCGTCGATGCCGATCGACGACGTGTCCGGCTCCGTGAAGACGGGGTACTGGACCTTCTGCTGGAGGAAGTCCTTGCCGTTGAGCTTGAGCAGGTCGTTGCGCACGAAGGGCCACATGTGGGGCCGGTTGATGCGGTTCGTGAAGCCCAGCACGTCGATCTCGCCGGAATCGACGCGCGACTCGCGCCGCTTCTCGAGCTGCATGACGTTGTGGCCCGCCATCTTCATCTCGATGGCCATGCGGATGCCCACGGGGCCGCCGCCGGCGATGCAGATGTTCATGGGCATGATGTTCTCGTTCTTGTTCGGCATGTCGAAGTTGAACTTCTCCCCGGGCCGGTACGCGGACCCGCGGCGCTCGATCTCGTCCATGTGCTGCCACATGCGCGGCCACTTCCAGTTGTGGCCGTCGCCGACGATGGCCTCGAGCTGCTCGTAGGGGAAGACCGGGTTCTCCTCCGAGCTCGGGCCGTCGACGGTCTCGACGACGACGCTCTGCACCGTGGAGTCGTAGAGCTTGTCCCAGATCGCCAGCACCGCCTCGCCGTTGTCGATGGGGGGCTGCGCGTTCAGGAACTCCTTGAGCACGGCGACCTTCGCGTCGGCGAGGTCCTCGAGCTCCATCTGCGTCATCTTCGCCATGGTCGCCTCGGTGTCCCGCGGAGAACACGCGACCAGCTCCACCGAATGGCTGGGAGAACCCAAGCCGCGGATTGGCACTGCCGCAGGCAGAAGATCGGCAATCGCTGCCCGGTCGAAGCTGCCGTGGTGCACCGTGCGATGGCGCGCTTTTGCGTTCCTTCAGCCTCGGCGCGCGCCGGGCAGCGGCGCCGCGACGCCGCGATGCGTCGGACGTCCATGTCCTTGTTCCGCCGGGGCTCGAGCGCGGCGCGCGACGACTCGGACGACGACGACGACGACGACGCGCTGCCGCGCCAGCGCTCGCGGTCGGCGGTCGAGGTGCCCGCGGGCGGCTGCAAGCTGCGGTTCGTGCCCGACCGGTGGCCGCCAACGATCTCGTACCACGAGCCGTCGTCGGACGACGACGACGACGACGGCGACGGCGCGTGGAGCGCGCTCGACCCGAAGCCGAGCTTCGTCGGCCGCGAGGTCGAGTCGCTGTCCATCACGCACGACGACGGCACGACCTACGACATCTCGCGCGGCGACATGCGGGGCATGACGGGCGAGCAGCTCGCGCTGGTCCTCGCCGCGGACGACCACGCCGCGACGCGTCGCCTCGTCGTCGCCGAGGCCGAGGTGCACCGGCCGAGCCGGGCCATGCGCCGCGTGAGCGAACGCCGCTCCGAGCTCCAGCCGACGCTGAGCCAGCTGCCCGACCTCCCCGGCAGCCCGCCGCCGGCGACGCGGCGGCGGTCGCCGAGCCTCGCGGCGGCCTACGCGTGCGTCGACCTCTCGTCCTACCTCACGAGCTACTTCTGCAGCCTCGACGGCTGCTCCCTCCTCTCGAAGCGCGACGACGGCGACGTAAGCGGCGACGACCCGTAGTTCCTAGCGGGCGGGTGGCGACGGGTGCTCGACGATTCGACGCTTGCGAACGCTTGCGATGCGGTCATCGCACCACGAGGATTCAGCTCCTGAGCTCTCAGGAGAGTCCTTGAAGTCTGTCCGTCGTACGCGTCGCGCAGTGCCCAGCGCTCCTCGACCCGCGCGCACCGCTGCACCCGCGCCATATGGGTTTCGTCGAAGGCGCCGCCGGCGCGGCGCTGCTCGCCGTCGCCCTGGGCTCCGAGGGCCTCGCCGTCCAGTACGGCTACCTCGCCGCGGACTTTGACGAGGCGCTCTTCGCGTCGGCGCCGGACAAGGCCACGTTCTGGGGCACGTTCACGGAGCCCTGCGTGCCCTACCTGCGCTACATCTACTACGAGATCGCGCGCGCGACGCTCGTGCACGCGGGCGCGTTCCTGCTGCTCGGCGGGCTCCGGGGCCTCTGGAAGCCGCTCGGCTCGGCCTGGAACCGGAGCACGCTGTCGCGCGGCATCATGAACGTCGCGTTCCTCAGCGCCTGCGGCTACCGCGGCGCCATGATGTGGAAGGGCTGGGCGGCGGACGCGGGCTGGTCGTCGGCCGGCGAGGCGCTGTCGGACGTCCACGCGGCGCTCTGGAACACGAAAGAGGGCCTCCACTTCATCCCCCAGAGCGCCTTCGACCGGCTCTACGTCTACGACCGGTCCTTCCAGCGCCTGAGCGCGGTCATGTTCGGCTTCCAGGCGAAGAACTTGGTCGACACCGTCGTCTTCAAGGACGGCATCGTCTTCGTCGTGCACCACATCGTGACGATGACCGTGGCGCTCTTCGCGCTCCACCCCTATTCACACCTCTACGGCTCCTTCTTCTTCGGCGTCAGCGAAATCTCGACGACCATCCTCGCGGTGCTCGCGCTGTTCGACGGCGAGTTCGGCGTGCCCGAGCTCGAGTCCGACTTCCCGAACCTGCGCCTCGTCATCGGCACGTTGTTCGCGGCGAGCTTCGTCGTCGTGCGCTGCATGCTCTGGCCCTACCTCACCTTCTTCTACTGCAAGGACGCCCTCGAGATCCTCGAGGCCGGGGACGGCGTCCACTCGCCGCTCCTCGTCAAGGTCTTCATGGGCGGGCTCATCATCCTCTCCATCATGCAGGTCATCTGGCTCGGCGAGATCTGCGCCAAGGTCTACGAGGAGGTCCTCGAGCCCCTCCTCGTCGCACTCGGCCTCAAGCGGGCCAAGGCGAAGACGGCCTAGGGGGCGGCTAACTTTGAGGGCACCTTGTGGTCCAGGCGGAGTCGGTGACGATGGCTCCTTGGGGCAGCCCAGCCGGCCGGCGCCGTCGCTGACCGCCGCGCGCAGCGGGCCGGCGCCGTCGCTGACCGCCGCGCGCAGCGGCCGCCTTCGCGCGCAGCGGGCCGGCGCCGTCGCTGACCGCCGCGCGCGGCGGCCGCCTTCGCGGCCGCGCGGCGAGCACCATTCAATCCCGCGAGCTCGTCGACATGGGTCGCGCGCCGAGGCGCGCGTCGAAGATGCTGGGGTTCCGAGGCTACTACGAGGACCCCGGCGACGACGTGGCGCCGGAGAACTACTTCGACCACACGGCCACGTTAGAAACATTCGCCGGCTTCCTCGCCGCGGGCTGCGCCCTCGCGCAGGTCAACGTGGACAGCACGGCGCGCTTCGTCGGGGCGCCGGGGCTCGGCACGGCCGCGTTCGCCGTCGTCACCGCCGCGCTGCCGCTCGGCGGCGCCGTCGGCGCGCTGGCCGTCGCCGGGCCCGCGCACAACCACGGCCGGCGCAGCGCGAAGCTGGCCTTCCTGGGCGTCGGCGCCGGCGGCGCCCTGCTCACGGTCCTCGACGACGCGGCCGTGTGCCTCGGGCCCGGCCGGCTCCTGCTCGGCGCGGGCCTCGGGGGCTGGTCCGCGGCCGCGCGGGGCCTGCTCTACGAGGAGGCGGGCCACGAGGGCGAGCTGGGCCTCGCCGCCTTCCTGCCGCCCGTCGCCCTGGCCGTCGGCTGCGCGGCGCAGTGCGCGGTGTCGTGGGCCTGCGAGGCGAACGCGCGGCTCGGCTGGCGCCCCGCGCACGCGCTCGTGCTGGCGCCCCTCGGCGCCCAGCTCTGGCTCATGGCCCGCGACAACATGCACCACGGCCGGCGCCGCAAGGGGCGGCCGTGCACCGTCGCGGGCGCGCGCTTCGGCGACCACCCGCTCCCGGCGAACGCGCCGGCGGCGGCGCGCGGGGCCGGCGGCGGCGACGACGACGCGAGCGACGGGTCCGACGGCGACGCGGCCATCCTGCGCGACGCCGCGGGGCTCCTGCGCGCCGACGACGCGCTCCTGCGGTTCGAGGACCACGCGGGCTTCCCCATGCGGCCCGCGCCGCGGTCGCGCGCCGCGCGGGCGAAGCGCCTCGCGAAGCGGGCGGCCCTGTGCCAGGGCCTGCTGCTGGGGCCCGTCGTCTTCTACGGCACGCTGATCCTGCACGTCGGCGGCTACCGGACGGCGCCCGCGGCCGCGCTGGCCTGCCTCTGCTGCGGCGTCGTCGGCGCGGCGGTCGCGCTGCTTTTGCTGCGGCTCCGGCCGCGGCGCGCGCTCGCGCGCGTCGCCGTCGCGGCGGCGGGCGCCGGGGCGCTCGTCGCGGGCCTGTGCTTCCTGGAGCTCGGCGACCTCGCGGTCTGGCCGTCCGCGCGGCGCAAGTCCGCGGCGCTCGTCGGCCTCGCGGCCGGGGTCGCGCTCTTTGCGTGCGGCGCGTTCGGCGCCCTCGCGCTGCCCGACGCGATTCTGGTCGACGCCTTCCTGGCCCACGCGCACCACCGCGCGCTCTCGAACCGCGTGGGCCTCGACTTCAGGATCTTCGGCGGCCTCTCGCACTCGCTCGCGGTCTGCCGCCTCGACGCGCACCGGTACCTCGGGCTCTTCCTCGCCGCGGGGCTCTTCCCCTTCGCCGTCGAGGCCTGCGGCGACGACGGCCTCTTCGCCCTGCTCGACGACGACGGGGACTCGAGCCAGCGGGAGGCGAAGCGCGGCGCGGGCGTCGTCTTCCTCGCGTACGCGTTTTGTTGCGCGGCGGCGTACGCGGCGGCGCGCTGGCGCCTGAGGACCGTGGGCGGCGTCGTCATCTGGCGCGACCGGCCCGCGACGAAGGACGCCGTCGTGCTGACCGACGACGACTATTCCATCTTCGAGGCCGTCTTCCAGGCCGTCTCCGGGCGGCCCTTCGACGCGGCCTACGGCGACCTCGCCGACGACGACGACGACGCGAGCGAGAACCTGAGCGCGAGCGACGCGTAAGAAGAGTTGCGCGTCTCACGAGTTACAGGTAGCCGCGCTCCTCGACGGGGCCGTAGATGGCGTCCTGGATGGCCGCCATGCGCGCGCGCTCCTCGAGCATCTTCTGCTTCACGGCCGCGCGCATGCCCGCGGCGCCGCCGAAGGAGTTGAAGAAGCTGTAGCGCGTCTTCGCGGCGCCCATGAGGAGCGCCGACGTGTCGCCCTTGGCCGGGGACCCGCCGGCCTTTTTCTCGCCGGGCGCGTCGATCTTGAGCCACTTCCGCGCGTCGCCGGCGGTGAAGCTGCCCGCGTGCGTCATGGACAGGTCCTCGTCGCCGCTGTCGTCCTGGCCCCCGTCGGGCTCCACGTCCGCGCCGTCGTCGTCGAAGTCGCCGTAGGAGCTCCGCGACGCGCGCGACGCGCGCGACGCGGGCCTCCGGCTGGGGTCGCCGCGGCGGAGCCACGCGCGCTTGCGCTTGATGAGGAGCGCCGCTAAGAGGTGGTGGCGCACGGCGTGGGCGATCTTGGGCAGGTACTCGACGGCCTTGGGCGGCGCCATGGTGAGGGCGCCCTTCTTCATGGAGTCCTTCTTCTTCAACGTCGTGCCCTGCGACGACGCGCGGCGGAGCGACGCGCGGCCCGGCGGCGCGTCCTCGGAAGGCCCCAAAAGCTGGGCGTGGTGGCGGTGGCCGAGGTCGCCGGGCGCCGTGTGGGGCCGCGCGTCGCCCGTCGCGGCGACGAGCGTCTTCCGGCGGACGTCGTCGCGGTCGACGAGCGCGGCGAGCACCGTCACCGCTTTGCGCTGCTCGCAGGCCGCGTCGTACTTCTCGCGGTGCCGCGCGAGCATGTCCTGGAGCAGGTCGTCCTTGTAGCGGCACTTGTGGGCGAACTGCTCCGACTCCGCGAGGATGCGCGCGTGCGACGACGACGCGTCCTCGCGCCGCTTCCGCTCTTC